GATTTTATGTTTATTATTGAGAAAGTTACTTGTATGTAAGGAAAAGTAGACAGCTGTTTGCACATTCAGCTTTGTAGTTAAATGTTTGTTTGCACTAGCAAATGATAATTATTCTAAGAGACTAACCTTATATTTATTATTTTTAAATAAACTCAAAAGGACCATTCTTAAGGACAGCCGATTTTTCCGTTACTTGCACACAGCTGTGATAGTGAGTGGGGCCATGCTGGTGTTTGGCGGAAACACACACAACGACACATCCATGAGCCACGGCGCCAAGTGCTTCTCTTCAGATTTCATGGTTTACGACATTGGTAAGTTTCCCAGATGGGTTAGCTTCAAGGCTTTTTTGTCTATGATCAACATTTGAAAAGAAATTGAAAATATCACCATTAAAAATGAATAGGCCCTTTAAAGAGAGTTGATTTTTTTTTAAGATTGAGTTAGCTAATGAACATTGATTAAAAAGCATTAGTTCTATATTAAATCCTTTGTTATTCCCTTTAAATGGCTGAATGTTAATTTTTGAGGGCAAGTTGGATAACCGACTCTTCCTATGTTAAAAATGCCTTTCATATTAGTGTTATGTAATTATGACCACTGGCATCGTATTAAATTTGTTTCAATACGTATTTATCTCTTTTATCTCCTGGAAACTGGCTCCAGTAATCTTGCTGTCTATTCTGACATGGAATTTTACAAATTTTGGTGTGGTAGTATACTTGACCAGAAGAGGGCAGTATTTGTTCATGTAAAACAAATACTAAGCTCTCTTGTATAAATAGCATCATTTGGATGTTCTCTTAAGAGACATTTATGTGCCAGTCCCTAAGCTGGTACACTGGGGATTATAACATGAATAATTTACAGTCCTTGACCTCATGTCTAAAAGGCAGTGATAGGACAGATGTTATCATCTCAGTTCAGGGTGTTTCTTGTTGAGGGAATATGTGAGAACACTTATGAGCTTCCCTTGACTTGAGGGCATTAAGGTCTGGGAAAAGCTTCTTGTGTAGGAACCTTGCACACTGGATCCTTGGGAATACTGTAGAGTCAGCAACTTTTTGCACAAAAGTTAGTAGATCTGGAGAATCTAGGAAAAGGCTTTTAAAAAGTTAGACAACTTTTGGAAAAAATATTTTTGGTTTTCATTGTCCATCTATATTTCCCCATTTTAACTCTTAGGTTTGGACAAATGCATGGAAAGAAGAGTAGAAAGTAGTTCTGGAACCTACTGTTTTACTTGCCTAACTTTGAAAAAGGTCAAATTTGCTTAAGTTTAAAAACACCATAGTGGGTAAAGTGATGGCCAACAGGGAGGACGACGTGAGTATGGTGGATGCATGCCCACTTGCTAAGTAGGGTTGTCACGTGGTCCTGCATCCCCGCCACGGCTCACCACTGCTGAACTAGCCATGTGAGATAGAAAAGCTGAGAGGCGCGTTTCGTGTGGTTATACTTCTTGCAGCCTTCTTCTCAAAGAAAATGCCAGTTTCAACTGATTGTGCATGGCCGTCCCTTTTGAAGTGTTTTTCTTGCTCCTAGCTTGTGATCGCTGGTCAGTGCTTCCCAGACCGGATCTCCACCACGATGTCAACAGGTTCGGCCATTCAGCAGTCTTACACAACAGGTAATTGGAAAAGAAGTGTTTGCTCCATTTCTCTTGTGCTTAAAATGAAAATGAAGTAAAACAGGAAGGCGTGGGCTAGCACATATTTGTCCCATTGGCTTTTCACAGAATTATGTAGGTATGCATGGCCTGATTTATAGTTAAATATTTGATGGGGGTTTAGTTCCTTCTGCTGCCAGGTTTGTTGATGCGGTTTCATGAGCATGTGGGAGTCTGCTCTCTGTTGCTGGCCCTTAGTTATGTGTGGTGGTTGCTTTTGCCCTTTGCTGTTTGCTGTTGTTCGCGGTTGTCAAGTTTCTTGTAGTTGTGTCTGAGTAGTAAGGAACGATTTGGGGGGGCGGGGGAGAGAAGGCACTTCAGAAAGCAGATAAAGTAGCGAACAGAGTTGGAGATTCTGAAACTCCCAATACATCAAACCTATCCAGTCTTGGGATAATCTGAAGTCTGCACTGTATTTTGTTACATTATTTGAAAATGCCTGACACAAACTAAAGGAGCCTTCATGAGTAGCCTCTGGGGAGGGCTCTGTCATCTCAGGTAGGGAGCTCCAGAGTGGCCACCTACCTGTTAGTTACAGTGTGCTTGAAAGACTTCTAATTCATTAAAACGGCTAGTCTTTGTCATTGGGTTACTATTCCTTCTCATTTTGTTACTGGATTGCTATCAGCATACTGTTATCTACTTCACCTTTTAAAATTCTAGGCCTTATCAATCCCAAAATTACAGAAATGCTACTGCCCATTTCCTCTGGCTGTCAAAAATTCAGTGTGGTGATACAGGTTAGATGAAAGTAATTCAGTTTGGGTTAGGAAAGGTAAGAAAACCACCTGTCTTGGAGATACGGTAAGGGAAGAGATGACAGAATTCAGACTGTCATGTATTGGGAAAAGAGGACATATTTTATGAAGTAATCACTCAGCAGAAAATTTGCCAAAGAACACAGTTTTACTTTGAGCATATCTGATAGATTAGACTAAAATGGAAGGATTTGATTCTCGTGGGAAACTGGGGAGCACCAGCCTCACACTGTCCCCACCTCTGTTCTCTGACTTCACGGTCTACCTGAGTCCCCTTTCTCCTCTTTTTTAAAACTCTCTCCTGTACCAGGAAGATACAGCTACACTGTAATTACTTGAGTTAAGCAACAAATTGACTGGCTTAATGTGTTGCTTGCTGTGATACCAAGGAAGCCCATAGTGAAGTCAGACATTAAACCTGGTATTTATTTTTGGTTCTTGAAATGTGTCTATTTTAAGATATAGTAACTGAGAGAATCACAGAATCTATTTGATTAGTCTAATAAAGGGGGAATTTTGAGGGAATTACTTGATACCTCATTCTGTATTAGTGCTGACCTTCCTGGCAAATGGTTGGACAAGATCTGAATTGACCTGCTCTAAACTCCCACTTACTGCAGGCGTTTCCTTCAAACACGTAAAGGAGGGCTGATGAGCATGGCCACTGATGAGCATTGACACTGGGGGAGATACTTACATATCTAGGAATGGAAACTGTAAGAAGGAAGTTTCTTCTTTGTCTGTAGGCTTTATTTATAACAAGTTCTTTATACTCTCTGGAGTCTGTTTTCTGTGTCTTCTGTTTATTGGTCTTATTTCCTATTTAAAAAAAAGATTTATTTATGCATACAGAACTGGGGTACAGGCCAGAGGTGTCAGAGTGGTAAGAGGATTCATCAGAGACAGAGTGGGGGGCAGAATAGGCAGATCAATGAAGTACACTGCTAAGGGGAGCAGCGGGCGGGTCAGGAGAGGTCTGCTGTGCCATGTGGGTCACCTCCGGGGCCAGGAATCGAACTCGCACTGAAGTGGCTGCTGCCAGATTGCAGTGCTACATCCTAACCCATTGGGCCACCAGGGAGGGCCCTTATTTCCCATTTTTAAGTCTCAGTAAGAGAAGCACAAATCCTCTGCCACAAAAATTCCCTCAGCCTCAGAGACTTCAGGCTACGGTTGTCTCTCCCATCTGCACAGCCTCTGGCCTACCTCTTTGTTTGGGTTTTAATCTGCCAGAGTGGTTGACAGGTTTGAGGATGTCCCAGTGATTGACACAAAAGAGGTGACAGATGTGGCCCAGTGTGCTCTGTGATACAAACTATATCGCTTCCATAACCTCATTGGCTTTGGCCTTCCATAGTAGCATTTTTAGACCGATTTGTTCACCCACTCATCCAGTGTTTCTGGAGACTTGAATTGCTTCCACCTTTTAGCTGTTATAGGGAATTGCTGTTATGAATGTGGATAAGGAAATAGCAGCCAGCACAGTCTCTTACTGAACAACTGAAGAAGTATACAGTGGAGACATAGCAAGATGATGAGGCATACTGCACAGAAACTGGGAGGTGAACAGTATTCAAGGAGATAAATTGAGTTTCTTCAACCTGCAGTTTTCTCTTCCAGTTGAGGCAGCTGAGAGGTAGAACAGAGCTTTTGGTTGACTCTCTGGGCTGAAAAGAGAGATCCGAGATTCTGTCATTCGTAGTATATGCCAAACAGTTACTTCAGAATGAACAAGCAGAGACAATGGTTTGCGTTTTATTTTTTTTAGAGATCGAGATTTCAAATGATTTACAAAGATTCCCTTTTACCCTTAGACTAAAAACAAAATGAAACTAATTATTACATGTTAATATGCAAACGATAACAGGCCCATTTGTAATGTTATTCAGTGCGAGAATTCAGTGTGATCCTTGAAATAGAAAAGAGATTTAGGCAAAATGGCAGATACATCATGTACTATGTTGTTCCTCCCTCCGCCCCTGGAAAGAGTCACAACTTTTTATTATGGATATTTAAAACCTAAAAGTAGAGGGAGTGTAACACATACAGTATAATGAAACTTCATGTCCCCGTCACTCACCTTTTGGAGTCGGCAGCTGCTGGCCACGCTAACTTACTCAGGTTACTTTGAAGCAGCTTCCCAGCATATGAGTCCATCCATTTCTGTTTCGGAATTCAGAGGATTTTTTATTATTTGCAGTATAGTTAAGGTCCATAAAGTCACCACTGACCTGACCCTACATTAACTAGAAAATATTAAATCATCGCTTTTAGGATAGGTTCCTGTGAGCCTCTGCTCACATTGTTTCAACTAACCACCATTTTATAACCTAGTTGTATGTGGCTCTGTTTAATGACGCCTGATTTGATCTATAGTTTGTTGACTCATTGACACTGAGCAGAGCGCCTGCAGCACTGTAACTCCTGCCTGAACAAAGCTTATGTAATGCACGAATTTTCTCTGCAAGGCACACTAGATAGCCTCTGTGCTGAGGAACGCTAGATAGCACTTCAGCACTACTCGTGGGAACCATTTTAAATAGCAAAATCGCCAAGATAAAGCACAAGTGTGAAGAAAAGCATGGCATTAAACAAATCATGAAACGGACACCGGTGTTTAATATGAGCACTCAAACAAGAAGGCTGAGTGTTACCTTGTTCAACCTCAGCTGGGAATGTGTGTGCTGGGCAACTGAAATGTTTTCTGTGCATGCACATAACTGAAGGATTGCAAAACCACCGCGAATATTGGCTTTGGAGTTAGAAAAAATTTCAGCAAGTAGACAAATTTGCACGTATGGAATCTGCAAATAGGAGGATTGACTGAGTATCTTTCAAAGGCTTTTTAAAAAGCACAACCACACTACAATTATCATACTTTCATTTATTTTTTTTTAAAGATTTATTTATGCATGCAGTCTGGGGTACAGGCCAGAGGTGCAAGGGCGGTGAGAGGATTCACCAGAGACAGAGCGGGGATCACAACATACAGATTGACAGAGTACACTGCTGAGGGGAGCAGCGGGCGGGTCAGGAGAGGTCTGCCGCGCCATGCAGTCACCTCCCTGGCTGGGATCAAACTCGTGCTGAAGTGGCTGCAGCCAGCTTCATAGTGCTGTTCTAACCTGTCGTACTTTTAAAAAGGAGGGAGGGCCCTATCTTACTTTTAAAAGTGATTAGTAATTCCTTACTAGCACTCATTGCCTAGTGTTCAAGTTTCCTAATTTCTCATCATTTAAAAAAATGTCATCTGTTCAAGTGAGCACCCAAATAATATCCATATACTGTAATTGGCTGAAATGTCTTTCAAGTTCCTCATAGTCTGTATCCTCCTTGTGCTGTTTTTCCCTTTCTTGTTAAAGAAGCTGCGTTGCCTGATCTGTATAGAGTTTTCTGTAGGATACACTTTGATTATTGCATCCTTATGCTTTGAATAACATCCCGGTCTCTCTCTGGAACTTCCTGTAAATTGGCTTGGTCAGATTCGCTTGAATGTTTTGGCAAAATCACTTTGTTTATCAATTTTCAAAATGATAAACCGATTTCTTAGTATTCCCCAAAGATGACGAAGGTTTTTTGTTTTTCTTTTTGGAAGAATGCACGTATCACTATGAATGTAGGGATTTTAAAATATCGATATTTCAGTCCATTATAGTTTTTTTTATTACTATTAAATTTCAAATATTTCCTATCTTTAACCATTGACCAACCATCGTGCTAGCTCATGAACCTTTCTAATACTTTCCTACTTCTTCCTTTCTTTCTGATATGGTAAGATCTTCCAGGCTATTCAGGAATATTTCTTATCCCAGATATGAAATTAGATTTCTCTCTGACTAGTTCTGGGTTTGGGGTTTGGTTGGTGTTTTTGTGTGTGTGTGTGTGTGTGCTCTGGAGAATGGTTTTGAGATAGCACTAGGCAGATTCTTTTTCCCCCGTACTGGTCATTACTTTTTAAGTCTTTTAAGAAAACAAAGAAATACTGTTCTTGTTTTTAGAGTAAAAAATACATCTGTGTATGGATGCTTGACCTCCACCCGCCAACAGACAAATGGCAGTATATTCTGTATACTACTTTTCTCTGCATTCCCTTGCCTTCCCCCCATACTGTCCCCCATAATAATACATCCTGGAGATCACACCATCTTTTTACATCTGCTTAGTGCTTCGTTGTGTGGCTGTACCATACTTTATCCATCACACCCCAACTGGTGGACATTTTGGTTTATTTGAGTCTTTGCTGTTATTATCGCTAATGCTTTTAGCAAATAACTTCATATATATTTCTTTTTGTATTTTTGGTATTGTATTTTTCTGGTTGACTTCTATTAATTTGATTTCCAGTTCAAAAGATAAGTGAACCACATTCCTCTCTATAGATTGTACCATTTATATGCCCAGCTGCAGTGTTGTACATATGTTGCCATTCTTTGTGCTTTTACGTGAGAAACGATACCTCAATACAATTTAATTTGCATTTCTCTTGTGACTGAAGGAAATCATTTTTCATGTGCTGTAATACATTTGCTTTTTGCCCTCACAGGGATATTCCTTTTCCTGTATGAAAGTTGCAAATCTTTTTTTGTAGTATATCATGTTCCTTTTACTTTGTTTATAGCATTATTTTTTATGCAAAAATTTCCTTTAATTTATAGAATCAAATTTTTCCATTGTTTTAATTCCCTCAGATTTTTTTTTTTATTAAAAAGTTTATTTTTACATCATTTTTCACAATTCCCTCAGATTTTAAGTCAGTGGTTTTTTTCCTACTCTCAAGTTATGGAGAAATTAACCTATGTATTTTTCCAGTGCTTGTGTGTTTTACTTTCTTTTCAGGCAGCTCTGTGATCCATTTGTAATTTATCCTGATATAGAGTGAGAAATGGATTCAGTTTTGTATTTTCCTTTATTTGTAGATCTTATTACCACTTGCTGAAAAACCCATCTTTTCCCCACTAGTTATGATGCCACTCACTCTGTACTAAATTTCCATATGCACTTTTATCTGTTTCTTATTGGCCTGTGTCTTCATTATACAGTTATAATGATAGTCTTTATGCTTTTAAAATGGTACATTTTTATTTTTAATATTTAAAAGGATATATTAGAGTCATGTAATGAATGCAGTTGTTTGTGAAAAATAGATTTGTCTTTTAATTTTAAAAATTGTTAGATAACGGGGCCCTCCCTGGTGGTGCAGCGGGTTAAAAGCACTGCACTAAGAAGCATAAGCCACTTCCGCATGAGTTCAATCCCCACCTGCCCCGGAGGAGATCCACATGGCACGGCAGACTTTTCCTGACCCGCCCGCTGCTCCCCTCAGCAGCGTACTTCGTCCATCTGCCTGTTCTGCTCCCCACTCTGTCCCTGGTGAATCTTCTCACCCTCCACATCTCTGTCCTATACCGCAGTTCTGCATGAATAAATAAATAAATGTTAAAAAAAATTGTTAGATAACACTATAAATATTCCAGAGAATCATGCTTAAAAGTCACTTGTCATGAGAATTTTAAATGTAGCTGGTGAAAATAGGTAGATTATTGGAACTAATCTGGATAGTTACAGGCCAGGATGAGAAGTTTGAATTCAGAGGGGTAGGGGTAAGACTGTTTTTTGAGACCTTGAAAAATCATTTCTTACAGGACTTGTGATATATAAGATTTGTCTGAAGATTACAAAAACTGCATCAGGCATTGGTTGCATGAATTTTCAGTAAACAACTCTCCCTTTTCCCCTTTTAGCACCATGTATGTATTTGGTGGTTTCAACAGTCTCCTCCTCAGTGACATCCTAGTGTTCACCTCGGAGCAGTGTGAGGCGCACCAGAGCGAGGCTGCTTGTCTGGCAGCAGGACCTGGCATCCGGTGTGTGTGGAATGCAGGGTCATCTCGGTGTATCTCCTGGGAGCTGGCCACTGAAGCACAAGAAGAAAAGTTAAAATCAGAATGTTTCTCCAAAAGAAGTATGTTCCCTCCTTCTTTAAAATTGACTTGAGATCTCATTTTATCTGTTGTGAAGGTACTTAGCATATGAATACTTTTCATGTTCATTTTATTATCTAGAATGATTTAGTAGTAACTTGCTTAAAAGCTTTATTAGAAAGTTAGCTTGTCTCCCAGACATCCTTACAATGGCTGGGAACATCCCATCTGGCTTCTAGAAGCTCTTTGCTAATGGTGAGACAAAACCTTCTTGGCACCCAATGAATGTTGTATATCCCCTTCAGAAACACCTCGATGCAGTTGGTCTGAGGCACTGCAGTCAATGTAGTAGGGTGTTTTGGTGATGACCGAAGTGTTCTGTATCTGCCCTGGCCCAGTAAAGTATGGCTATCAAAACACTTGCAGTTGAGAGTGGTCTGACTGAAAAGCTGAATTTTAAATTTTATGATTTGAGTTGAATGTGCTATGTGGCAAGTGGCCACCATATTGGATTTAGGCAGGTTGTTGTTAAGAATGAGATTAAGAGACTCCGCCCAGAGCAGCTATGTTGCAGTAGGTCATTCCAGCATACAGAGGGTGAGTTGCTGGCCTTGCCAAGTATTCTGGCTTTACTAACTAGGCTTCCAGTGATAGAAAAGCAGTGTTGCTGAGGGCGAGTGGCAACCCCTGCCTCCAGAACCAGCCCTCATGCTTTCCTCGTCTTACCTACTTAGCTTCTTGCCCTTTCATGCAGATCTGATCTATACCACAGTACAATACAATGAAGTAAGGCGTGAGAAAGTCCTTTTAGAAGTAAGAAAAACACTTCTAAAATATTTGTTCACTTTAGTTAAATATGTTGATTCATTGTCCTATGGGGTGTAAAGGCAGATTTCACTCCTGAACATCAGTCCTCAGTAAGAACACCCAGGAAACCATCTGGTGGGCTACAGGTGCTAAGAATTAGCTGAGATGACCAGAACCCAAAAGGCTAGTCCCTATCACCTGAAAGGAATAAAATCAATGAAATAGTTGTTTTTAAACCAAATTTGAAAACTAAATGCCGAAGTTTGTAGCACATAATATTGAATTACTTAGATGGTTTGCTGTGAGCTCATCTCAGGTGTGGACTCCCTGGATAACTCTTTAGTGAATGGGTCCCCTCCTTGGGGTGATGACCAGGTTGGGGAGAGCAGCCCAAGGAGCGGCGCAGGGGCCTTGTGGGAGGGCCTCTGCCTCTTCTTGCCCATGGAGTCCACCATGTGCCGAGTCCGGAGTGGTTCAACAGATGAGTCGATTGTGCAGCTTCTCTCTTGCTTCTGCCCTTGACCTGACCCCACATGGAGCGGTAGCAGGTCTGCGGTGGCCCAGAAGTTCTCCAGCTTGTTCTCTTGCGTTTATGTGTGTGTTAAATGCATCGCAGCGTAGAGCCTCCTAGGCGTTCTGTCTGCTGCCTGCTTCCTGCACCCAGATTAGCCTCGGCTTGCAGCTGGGAGGAATGGCGTGGTTTCCTACATTACTTTGCCTCTGAGGCAGCTTTCGATCATCCTTCTATTGCTGGTTGATTTTCTTGGAGGAAAAGTTTTCCACGTATCAGGCACTCTTCCATACATACTGTTGTTAAATTAAATTGATCTAACCCATCTTTGTCTTTTACTTTCTGTTTACTACTGCCTCCTTTTATTGAGAATTTGTTCACGTACATCATACTAAGTTTAATGCAGATAGCATATAGCATAACGGCTTGACTTACATATATTGTTGTCTTTTGTTGTGGTAGTACACCGTAGTATATTTTCAGATCGTCTCCTTATTTCTAAATGCTATTTTAAATTGAACATACCAATATATTTTCCTGCCAGGTTCACTGGCTACTTTCCTTCCCAACCATTGTTACCTTTTTTTTTTTTTTTTTAACTTCAGTCTCAGATTGTGCTCAGCAGCAACTCACTAGCCTTGATGTGACTTTTCTGAGAAGCTGTCTTGGTTGATGAGTTTTTCTTCCCTCTGCAGCTCTCGATCATGACAGATGTGACCAGCACACGGATTGTTACAGCTGCACAGCCAACACCAATGACTGCCACTGGTGCAATGACCACTGCGTCCCAATGAACCACAGCTGCACGGAAGGCCAGGTCAGAGGCTGTTCCCACAGATTTCAGAGCAGGGGACAATTTCGATTATTGCATATATGGTGTAAATACTAAACCAGACTAATTTTTAAAACCATCAAAGGAGATTTTGATTTTATTATTATTCAGATTTTCTTTTATGGAGCGGTTGCTCTAGCAGTGTTTTAGAAAACGGTGTGACTTTTCTGGATACTCTACCTTCTGCCCCTGAGCATGACTGTGGCTCAGTACTAGTCCGTGGTGTGAGGCTGGTAGTGAAGGCCAGATGGCTCTACCTATACAAGGTTTTGAGCAGGTTAGGTCTTGAGACTGAAAAGGAATCAGGTGTCACACTCATATTGCATTGTGGAGATAAGAGACTCCCCGCCAAATCTCCTTGCCTTAGGGTATTTCTAAACTCAGCATAACTTAAATGCTTACCATTTGTGCATTTTTATTTAGATTATAATAAGATGCAGAAAAAGATTTGACTCAGCTTGTGTAGTTTTTGTCAGCTTATAAGGCATTCTTTGTCTGGAATGCAGTTCATAAAATACACAGTTTTTCAGAGGCACGTTTTGGGAGGCATTTGAAAGCAGCAAGTTCTGCATCCCCGTTTTATAGACGAGCAGGTTAAAGTTGTAACGCGTAAGAGTGCCCCGCTTCCTTGCCGGTTGAAGGCATGTCCTCGAGCAGCGCATCTCATCTTGCTGGCTCCACTGTGCTGCTGCTTCCTCGGCTTGTATTTTTATCTGCCTGAAGCTTGCTTCCTCAGCTAGAGTTTGTCATTTTTAGTATCCTCTTTGACCTCCCCCTGAGTTCTTCCTGTGTCTCCTGTGTTCTAGATCTCCATAGCTAGATATGAGAATTGCCCCAAGGACAACCCTATGTACTACTGTAACAAGAAGACCAGCTGCAGGAGCTGTGCCCTGGACCAGAACTGCCAGTGGGAACCCCGGAACCAGGAGTGCATTGCGCTGCCGGGTAGGCCTTGCCGAGAGGCGCCTCTGGTGGGTGTGGGTCCAGTGTTGTGCAGTTTAGAGTGAACCTGGCAGTGGGACCAGGCTCATTTTATCCAGGCATTCCCCCACACCACCACTGTGATTGTTATTTATAAACCAGAAATACAGTTTTCCAAGGTTTGCTTTTACTGTTTATTGAAATGAAACGAAGTCTCACCTGCAGCTCTGGAGACTCCGGTGACCGCTCAGCTCCACACCGTCAGGCTTGCTCCATTGCCCACACCGGCTGTCGTAACTAGAATAGCGTGTAGTAGTCTCAGCAGTCAGCGTCCTGGGACCTTTAGGAGGAATACTGACCACAGGAATTAGGTTTTGGCACCTTCTGACGGGAGAGGAGAGATGCCTCCATTAGCAGTACCTTCTATAGTGCTCTCCAACCCCCAGATACCTTCATGGCACTTCTGAGGGATGATGAATTGGGCACCTGGGACCAGGAAACCATGGATGAAATACTGACACGTTTGCCTACTCAGGATGTCTGGGAAGGGGGACTTCTGGGGCATCGCAGCATCTGGGTTTTTTGCAGGGCAGTTGGCATCTCCCCGCACCCTTGAGTGTGCTGTGGAAGATGATTCAGCTTGCAGGAGTGGGCTTCTTCTTCTCTGTCTCATTGCATCTCAAAGTTTCACGCATAGCAAAGATCACCAGGTGGTGATCTTGCCAGAAGACGAATTCGGGGTCAGATCTGGGGTGGGGCCCCAGGGTACGTTTGAACAGCCACTGAAGCCGCACTTTGAGGAGCCAGTCTTTGCCTGCTCCTGAATGATGCCCTCCCGTGACATCTCCCATTTCTCTCACTGTTAACGAACATGGCTGATGTGTCTCCGGGGCATCTGGCTCTGCTGGAGTCGTGTCCCTCATTCATGGCATCCCCGAGGCGTCCGTGACCCCGGGCAGCGCAGGGGTGGCTCCAGCACATCACAGTGGCAGAATACAAGCTTGCTTGGCACCACGTTGGTTTCCCCCCCAAAAAAGATCTTTCCACCTTGTTTATGAATTTGATTTCACCTTCCACTTGGTGCTGGGATGCAGGGCAGCCCTTGAAGCCTGTAGCTTTGTTCTTCCACCAACTCACTTCTGTGTTGTGGTTTTCTACCCCACCCTTCCAAAATGCATGTTCATTTTTTTGCTTTTTACTTAGGTTTTGATCTTCTTTCTATTTGTTCATTAAAAAGAGGTTTACAGAGCTAATGCTGGTACCAAAAACATGTTTTCTTTTAAGACATTAGAGGGTTGACCTTGGACTCTGCCTCTTGAGATCCAGGAAATACGGCCAATAAACATGGAAAAATCTCTGTGCTGTGTATTTGGTGCTTAGCAGTGTGTCCGGTGCACCTCAGCACATCCTAATGGAATGCCTGAAACTCAAATCACAAAAACCATTTATGTTTCCAGTAATTTGAATTGGGAATACAGTAGTTTTGTGTGGTTTCTAAAATTTTTTTTTCCCCTCTCCCTTCTTTACCAAAGAAAATATCTGTGGCATTAGCTGGCATTTGGTTGGAAACTCATGTTTGAAGATCACGACGGCCAAGGAGAACTATGACAATGCTAAGTTGTCCTGTAGGAATCACAATGCCTTTCTGGCTTCTCTTACGACCCAGAAGAAGGTAGAATTTGTTCTTAAGCAGCTGCGAATGATGCAGTCATCACAGAGCATGGTGAGTTGAAATCCTCAGAACTTGAGTTTCTAGCATCCTCCTTTCTCCTGAAGGCCCGACTCTGGCTGCCTGCGTCTCGCTCAGCAGGAGGATGCGGCACAGTGTGATAGACTGGAGCTGGACTGTCAGGCTCCCTTCCCTTAATGCCAGCTTATCTGACAGTGTTTGACACTTTATTTTTATGAGTCATAGCTGTTACTTTTTATGATACATGAATAATTACATGCTATTGAATAGTAACTTGTGTAACTGCTTATATTCTGGTGACATCAGTAGCTTAGTTTGTGGCTGATGTATTGCTTGCATGGGGGATGTCACTGCTAAGTAGCTACCTGAGCCTCAGACTTAAAGTTTTATTATAGCTTGTTAGGACTTACTCTTTATCACGCCAAGAAGTGGACATCTGTCTGGGCCTTCTATCTGGTCAGTCCAGAGGGGGAGGACTTCTTATCAAGAGTCTACAAGCACAGAGGACCCAGCTTCTCTCTCTGCCCAGCCAGTGCTCTCAGGCAGCGTGTAGACTTGTTATTCCACAGTCATGTTTTGTCTTTTCTAGTCTGGCTTCCCTCCGTGTTCTGTCCTTGACTGTCAGCTGACCTAGCTGACCTCACCTATAGTCACACTCTCAAAACAATTAATGCTTTTCAGCTTTGCCCAGGACCAGGGATTCCCAGTTCATGTCTCTGAAGAACACCTGTTTAGAAGGATTCAGCTATCCCATTTGACCATCAGTACATCTTCTGGTCCCTCTACTCTCTCCCACAGGTTTTCTAGCTCTAGAAGGTTCTGGGCAGTCTAATTTGCAGTGACCATCTTTATACAACAGGCCTTCACAGACTTGTGATAAGACCAATAGAAGAGAGACAATGACAGTGAAAGTGAATCTGCGGTTGAAGGCTGAGGCTCAGAGCCCAGGCTTGTGTGGAGACGCCAGAACAATGCTCAAGGCTAGCACCTAGGGCAGGCTGGGTAGCCAGCCGTCAGGAGGTTACCCCAGAGATGGGGCAGACTTTGGGAAGGTGAGGAAGGAAGGGGCCTCTGTACTGGTACCCCCTTTTCACAGACTTTGGGTGAACTGCTGGTAAGCTGGCACGACTGGTGGCAAGGCAGCTGTGGAGTGAGGCCTCAAGGCGGGATGAAGGCCAAGTCATGGGCGACTATGTCCACAGTGCTGAAGGCTTTTAATTTTATCAAGAAATCAAAGGGGAGTTTTTGAAGAGCTATAGAAAGTATTCATTATCATCCTTTCCTTAAAAAATACTTATTTAAAAAGAAAATTTTAAAATATTAGCAATAAAAATAAATACTCATCGCAACTGAAATAACGGCTTTGGGGTTTATTTCTCTTAGGTCTCTTAAATAGGCATGTATTATTTTTGCTCTCAAAAATGTAAATCCATTGTACATTATGTTTTGTGAGCTGCCAAAATTATAAATTCCTTTCATTTCTGGGCTAACGTAATACTTTGGTTTATTTATTTACTTTTTTTTTAAATTGCATTGAGAAGGAAAATTCAGTAGAACAGAAAACAGGCTTTCCCAGGAGATCACTATCCTTTTATTCCTGTAAAAACAATGTCAGCCAATATCCCAGCTGAAGGTGGGAATCTTCAATCACCTGAATTGGTGAAGGCCTTAAAACAGAATTAAAGACATGAGAATAGGCATGTGATCAATATTTCGTGGTATTGGTTAGGTGAGCGTATGTGTGGATACACATTTAAGCCACGTTGGAGGGAGGAGATAGCAATGCATAGCATTTGTCACAGGGTTTGGGAGCTCAGGAGCTTTACTATTGCTTTGCTGCTAATCTCAATGGAAGCTCTGATGTCCCAGGTACAGTGTGTGATGTAGAAGTGCTGGTCTCCTTATCCTAACGGTCCAGTAAGGTTCCCCTCATCTGTGGGGTCTGTGTCACTTGGTTTTTACTGGAAAGCTATTGGAGTCAAGACGTTGATTGTATTCATAGCTTAGTCTGCTTTGCCTGTAGTCGAAGCTCACCTTAACCCCTTGGGTTGGCCTTCGGAAGATCAACGTGTCTTACTGGTGCTGGGAAGACATGTCTCCGTTTACAAACAGCCTGCTCCAGTGGATGCCGTCTGAGCCCAGTGATGCCGGGTTCTGTGGGATTTTGTCTGAGCCCAGCACTCGGGGCTTGAAGGCTGCAACCTGTATCAACCCACTCAACGGCAGCGTCTGTGAAAGGCCTGGTAAGCAGAGAGTGGGTGGGCTGGGTTGGAGGCTCACGGAGAGAAGCCGTAGGCTTGAGTAGGTGTTGAGATGTATGAAACATTCATGAAAATCTGGTGGAGTCCTGATTTTAAGCATACGGAGCAGAGTGTAACGCAGAATTTTAAAAACAGAAATAGTCTCTGACTGTGACTACTATGAGCCATAAGCAGAAACACAGATAAGTAACACTACTCAAAGAGCCTAGTATTTTAATTAATAAGGTTGAAGGTTTGAGAATTATTCTGAAACTTTCTTGGCATTGGCAGAGAATGCCGTGATAGAGAGAACACAAAATGCAAGTAGAAACACAGTAAAGGTGAGACAAGGACGCAATTCACTCCTGGGGCAGTGGCGGAAGATGGTGTCAGAGGGGAGCAAAATGACGAGAGCATTTCTGTGCAGGAAACAGCCAGCCAGGCTCCCTGGACTGCGCGGGAGAGCCCTGTAAGGTTTGCTCTCCTCTGGGCCCTGCAGACGTCATCAAGGCAGGCCAGGCACAGCACCTCAGCACACAGATACCCCCGGGGAGTCACACAGAAGTGAAAGAGGGAATTTTTGTATTTTTAAACATTTATTTACTTAGGCATATAGAACTGGGGTACAGGCTAGAGGTTCAGGGGCAGTGAGGATTCACCAGAGACAGAGTAGGGAGCCAAACAGGGCAATTGAGGAAGCACACTGCTGAGGGGAGCAACGGACGGGTCAGGAGAGGTCTGCCGCGCCATGTGGGTCACCTCTGTGGCAGGGATCGAACTTGTGCTGAAGTGGCTTTAGCTTCATAGTGCTGTGCTTTAACCCGCTGCGCCCCCAGGGAATGTTTCTGGGCACTGTGGGAGACTGCTTCACCGGCCTCAAGTCTCTTTTCAGGAAGGTACTGTGATTTGAGGATTCAGAGGTGTAGGAGAGAATTCATAGCATAGTAGAGTCACCTTAAACTATGATTTCTACTTGTTCTATAGGGACTTCTCAGACTTTTTGGGTCTTGAACACTTTGGTGATTTAATGACTGTGGTGGTCCCTCTTCCTTCCCAACTATACAGACTTTTGATTTACATACCCAGCTGGGTTGTAAGCCCCCTTAAAGTTCATCCCGAGTCCTTACATTCTAAGGAGATTTAGAATCCCTGCCCTTATGGAAATACTATCTTGTTCTCTCATCTCTGTCCCTAATGCTCTTTGGAAAGTAAGTTAGCTCACGGCGGCGCTCATGGCTTCTACTTTCTCCTCCATTTAGTGTAGTCTACTGAGTTCATTCCATGACACAGTGGGTCCCACCTCTCCTCCTGGGCAGCGTGGAGGGAGTTCTGACTGCGTCTCTCGGGTTTGCTTCCAGCGAACCACAGTGCCAAGCAGTGCCGGACGCCGTGTGCCCTGAGGACTGCGTGCGGCGAGTGCACAAGCGGCAGCTCCGAGTGCATGTGGTGCAGCAACATGAAGCAGTGCGTGGACTCCAACGCCTACGTGGCCTCCTTCCCCTTCGGCCAGTGTATGGAGTGGTACACCATGAGCAGTTGCCCCCGTAAGTGAAAAGTGAGCTCCGGGCACTCACTGGTGTGTGGGCGGGGGCAGCAGCGCTCTCTGTGAAGCAGCCTGTCCACCTCCGGACAGGCTGGGGACCAGACTGAACTTGGCCTTTCTGCTCAGATCTCTTTGGAGACTGCCTGGTGGCCTAATCAGACAGAATCAGGTGCATTGACCCAAGTAAACACATGTAGGACAGATCAGCGTACAGACATAAGCCACTCAACTTCAGCATCCTGCTACTCAACCCAAGCTGAGTAACTTCTAACATAAGCGCTCTCCAGGAGGTGACCGGTAAGGTCCCCTCTGCCTCCAGCATCCTGGGGCTGAGCGAGGAGAGGAGCCCTTGTCACTTGGGCAAACGATTGGATTCACTATTGGGCTCTTTCATTCACTATTGGGCTCTTTCAATTTGTTTTGACACTTTAAATAACCATAATAGAATAAGGATTTAGATTCATCCAGAATAGTCTGTTAAGGAAAAGGGATTTATTTCTCTTTTAGATTTATTTATTTATTCATACAGAACTGGGGTACAGGCCAGAGATGTGGAGGGTGAGAGGATTCACCAGAGACAGAGTGGGGAGCAGAACAGGCAGATCGACGAAGTATACTGCTGAGGGGAGCAGTGGCCAGGGCAGGCGGAGATCGAACTCATGCGGAGGTGGCTTAAGCTTCTTAGTGCAGTGCTTTAACCCGCTGCGCCACCAGGCAGGGCCCAAGGAAAAGGAATTTAAATGCAATACATTAAAATCGGTGAATTACCACGTGTTTTTCTTAACAGCGGAGAACTGTTCTGGTTACTGCACCTGTAGCCACTGCTTGGAGCAGCCTGGCTGTGGCTGGTGCACCGACCCCAGCAATACCGGCAAAGGGAAGTGCCTCGAGGGCTCCTACAAAGGGCCGGTGAGGATGCCTGCCCAGGCCCCCACGGGGCACTCCTACCCACAGCCCCTTCTCAATTCCAGCATGTGTCTGGAGGACGGCAGGTACAACTGGTCTTTCATTCAGTGTCCAGGTAAGATGTCCTCTGTAGCCAAAGCAAGTGTCTCACTACCCATTTACAAAGAATTGAGCCTTGAAAGCTACATTATTTATATGGATTTCCTTTAAGACAACAAATCGTTATCCTAGGAGAAGTATTTTCATCTGAGAAAAAATTTAATGTCACTAAATGAAAATATTAAGAGATTCAAGTGAGCTCACTTTCACTACAAAAGGAACATATTCATTAGAAAAAATGTAAAATTACAGATTTAAATAAAAACTAGAAATCCCCTGCCCCAGTGTCTCATGCAGTAAAAACTTTTAAGTTTTGATATTGATACCTCCAAACACACTGATGGAAATATTTTAAAATTCCACACTTCTGTGCTTTGCATATTATGCACATTGTTCTACAGCGGTTGTTTGTTTTATTGACGTGACATTGGTCTCCAACACTATGATTTAAAGGTGTAGGTTTAGAATGACCTCCAGGCATGTTACCACAGCACTCCGACCACTAAGGAACCCTTACACAGTTTGTTTTTTACTTAAAAATGTAAGATGGCCGTTATTTCTTGGGGCTGGGGTGGGGGGTGGGAGTGGGGTTGAAAATAAAATCTGTGACCCCACAAATGTAGAGAAGAAACACAACAGTTTTATCACTGAGCCAGCCTGTAGTGCACATCGTGGGCCGTCCACATGCCTTTACGTGGCCTGGCACATCCAACCTGGAAGTACATGTTCTAAAGGCAAACAGTAACTTGTCTCTGTGTGAGAGACTCTTGCAGCACCATTTGTTATATATACTTTCATAATTACCCTGACTCAGCATGGTAATTGGGTGAATATCTGGGCTCATCCATGGTCTTTATCCAAAGGGAAAATTTTCTGTCTTTATGGCAGGCAGCTGGGTACTTGGCCCTGCACTCCTGGGCTGAATTCCCCAAGTTGCTGGGAAACCGATGCAGCATTGATGTTTACACTCCAAAGAGGTGGCTCCCAGCGCCCTAAGAAAAGCATTCCTGCATTGTAGTGCAGACCGGAGCCTGTGCTTAGTTTTAAAAAAATTTACATGTATATGCAAATCAAAGGAACCAAGGAAGGATTTAAAAACAGATTTTTCTTCATGAAAAGGAAGAGGAGAAAGGTCATTTTCTTTTTTGACCGGAGAAAGAATTTAGTGAGCCTACCTGCCTTCTTCCTTTCCCTTCTCCCCTCCTCTTCTCTCTTGTCTTCCCTTCTAGTCCTTTTTTCCATTGGTTGACGCCAGAAAGAATAGAACACCCCCTGCTGCTGGGGGTGCTGCCCAGAGAAAACAGCTCTGGGAAGTTGGCCTTTGATTCACCTCCTGTGAAGCTCAGAAATAGGCTGGTGGGCCTGCGGACTGTGGGAGACAGGCAATAGATGCCAGGATATCAGTGAGTGAGATCTTCTCCAAAGCCTGTGTCTGACCACAGGACTCTTGAGGACCTTTGCGAGGGGGTGGGGAGGAGAGGCGAGGCCCTCTGTCCTCTGTAAATAAAAGTAAAGGGCAAGAGACAGAGACAGAAATTGTCTGTAGTGTAAATAACACATGAGTATCATCCAGAGTATGGAGACCTTCAGGAAAAAAAAAAAAGTTAAATGTCAACTAATAGAAAAAAAGTGAGCAAAAATGTTGGGGTCAAGGAGCACTGAGGGACCCTGAGATTCTTGACTTCTGCGAAGCAGGAAAGAATTCATGTGGAAGTCAGGATAGGTGAGTTAGAAACAGATGAGTTGGTGGTGGGAATGCTATGGGGACTAAGCCTGAGAAAAGTAAGCAAATATTGTTTAAAAAAAAAAAAAGGGAAGAAGAATGATGTAAAATAGAAATGAAGCTGTTGTAGGAAAATCAGGGCAACGCCCCAGTGGCCTAAACAGAATGACAGGTTGACCCTCAAGGGGCGTCACTGGGCACATCCAGTAACATGCACACGCCCGCAGCCCTGGTCCGTAGCTTGACCAAGGGGACAGGAATTTACAGGTTGGGATAATTAGATTTGAACTGTTTTGTTTATCAAAAACATCTGACCCCGAACCTCCTGTTACAACCAGTGGTACCTGCTGTGGGATACACTAATAAGATTGGAACCCCTTTGTTCTGAAATGTGCACAGCTGTTTTTTGGAAATATTGGATGGGGGAAGTAGGGGCTTCAGCCATTGTGCTAAATTCCTGTTTTACCTCGCAGGCAATTAAGAAGCATCTTTTCATTCTCAGCAAAAGAAATAGCAAGAATAGGGAAATATAAAATAAAATGAGGAACCAGTTTTTTATTTACCAAGCAATTGACTTTTTGTGTTCCCATTTTTCATCTGATGTTTTGGAAGATCGGCAGTTGTATTTTTAATGTGCTAGTAGTTAATGTTTTTTTTTCTTTTTTTACATCATTTTGTACATTTTCTTGTGCTTTTCCTTTAATATCAGATCTGTATCAGGTGAGGTAACAGCCCATGATAGGAGCTGAGCTATGGAAGGTGTGTTGTGACGGCCTGAGGGGACAGGGTCCCACCAGGCCCAGCTGCACAGCCCAGATCCTCCCTGGCTGTGGCTGAGAGGCCTACATTTCTCCCCAAGTGGGAGGGCCCAGGAGCGATGGACCAGGGCTGGAGGCATGTGTGTGTGTCCCTGGATGTGCGAGTGACGCCCTTGGGTGTCAATGTGTCATTCTGTTCAGGCAACTGGGCCTTTGCCCTGATTTTCCCTTCCGATCCATATCTCACCTCTGCCTGCCCCCTCGGAATGGTCTGTCCCCTCTGCAGCTCCTGCAGAGGGGATGCCTCAGCCAGCTGTTGAGCAGGCACAGAGCAGGTCATGAGTCATTTCCTGTTGTCCACCACGCCAGAGGCCTGCTCTGGCCCCAGCCCCAGCTGCATGTCTGAGGTGTCAGTCGGCAACATGCAGCAGGTCACTTGGGCAGCCCCCTCCTCCTCCATTAAGATGCTGGTGTGTCCCAGCTCCCCTTTTTCTGTCTGCTTTGCCATTTTTAGACATTCCCCAGTACTTCAGAAGTGTCTCTCAAGCCTTTTGATAGTACCTTTTACCTCATATTCTTTTTGATTTATCCTTGTTTTCATCAACTTTCTGTAACTTCAGTGAGAATTTAAAGGGGAAGAAAGAAAGAAGCATTTCTTCAGTCTTTCATTCTTGAGCCACAATACATACTTTTACTAGGAAACGATTTTTTTTTAGGTTTATATTTTTGGTATGTGTTGTGTTTTGTCCTTTTGCTCATACTGTTGCTTATTTTCATATGAATGTGTATACCCACACACCGTAAGTAATTTTAGTATAGTCGTTACTAATAGTTATTTAAAGCTTTTCAGTTGCAGTCTCTGTAGAACTCAGATACCTGGAGGGGCGGGGTAGCTAGTGGGTGGCCAAGTGCAACAAGAATGGCTGCCGTTCTTGAGGTGACAGGTCAGCAGAAGCAGCACCCCAGAGCCCCTGCTGACAGTGGGTGGGGCCCCTACAGCCTGCAGTCACAGCCTGCACAGCTGTCCGAGCAGTGCTGAGGGGCCAGTTTTCGTCTGCCTTTCTGGTTATCAAGACCCACGTGACCCAGCGTCAGTGATCCCACTTCTGGAAATGTTTATAGATAAAGGTGGTTACTTTTCTAATAATAAAAAAAAATTGTAAACCAAACCAAATATAAGGGGATAGTTCTGTGACTCTTGTGACTCAAAGGAATCATTCTGCCATTTAAGTTCTATTTATGGTAAGTAATGTGGTAACGTTGTGATCTAAGTTAAAAAGAAATCAAAATGGAATATTAATATGAACACAACTGTATAAAACTGTATACAAAAACTTCTGGAAGGAAAGATACCAAATGTGAACAGCCATCTCTGGGTGGTATGCTTGTCTGTGACTTGCCACCTTTTTCTTCTCAAATTATCATGAGCCTCTGTTACTTATGCAGGGAATAACAGTGAAAATTAATCTTTTGGTGGGGCTGGGTTTCCAATTTGCTGATCTATTTCTGACTTCCCTGGCGTAACTCATTTTTGCCGCTGTGATCCTATTTCTCAAACTAGTTTTTAGTAGGCCGGTTTTGATGGTTTTGTATTTTGTGACAACAGGGATTTAAACAGATGATAGCAAGTAAACCTTGTCCAGCTTAACTCCATGCAACAGTCCCCTCAACGTTCTCTTCCTTCCAGCTTGCCAGTGCAACGGCCACAGCAAATGCGTGAACCAGAGCATCTGCGAGAAGTGTGAGAACCTGACCACGGGCAAACACTGTGAGACCTGCATCTCCGGCTTCTATGGCGACCCTACCAACGGAGGGAAATGTCAGCGTAAGTCCAGTCCGTCAGGCCTCCTCACTGCACATGGCTGCCACGGAGCTTCCTCAGACTTCACTGTCTAGGTGGTATAAAGCCACTTGGTTTTAGAGACAACATTTCATCAGTCATACTTGTCAGGAGCCGGCTGAGCAGAGAGGGAATAAGCAGAGCCACCAAATGTCAGAGTAGCCAGTTAAAGCAGCAAGCTGGAAACCAGTGAAGGGAGCCTTTTGTCGCTTAGTGTGATGATACAAGCAAGAGGCTTAAACTGGAAGCCTCTTCCCACCCATTGTCCCGCCTGGGATGGCACCGTGGGTGATGGATTGGCACCGCTGGGGGAGTGGCTCACTGTTGAGGGCACTCCAAATGAAAGACTCTTGCGTCTCAGGGTCCATAAAAGCCTTCTGAGACGCAAGAGTCCAGGGTAGGGGAGGGGAGCAGAAGTGGAAAAGTGGGGTGCAGCCAGATCCCCTCAGAGCGCAAGCATTGCTCAGGGAGTCTCCACAGGAGCAAAGACTTTGGGTCCCCACACCCCACGCCTGGCACAGAGGAAATGCTTCATAAATGTTTATGCGCGAGTGAGAGAATCGTGCATTGAGAAGCAGCCAAACAGTGTTACTTAGGACGGCAGTGGGAGCCCCCTCGTTCCTCCTGTCACCTGACTTTCAGTCCTTCATTGTCACCTTTACTTTGCTTGGGGTGACTGGTTAGCTGAAAATCACAACTCTTACCCACTTAATGCTTTTCTTTTCATCCTCTTCCCTGGTGAATCCGATCCAGGTAACTGTTAATTTTAGACAAGTCTGATGGTAAGCTTTGAAACCCATGGTGACCCGCATCCCTCTTCTTCTCCCCAGCCTGCAAGTGCAACGGGCACGCGTCCCTGTGCAACACCAACACGGGCAAGTGCTTCTGCACCACCAAGGGCGTCAAGGGGGACGAGTGCCAGCTGTGAGTACCCAGTCTTGAGCCCCTGCCACAGGCTAAGTGATAGGCAGCCAGGTTAGCAGGGTCTGAGCCACCAGGGAGCACCAAGAGGCGCTGACCCTACACAGCCACCCCCTTCCCCATGTCTCACTGCCCTGAGTTCTGAAGAATTGCATATTGATTCATCTGTTTAAGTGACTCTGAGGTGCCCTGGCTTGCTGACTTGTATTAGTCTTTCAACTTGAGCAGTGACTTGATTTTTGTCACATCAGGAGACAAAATGAAAACACTGCACCCTTTCCTGAGGTTTGGAAAAGCTGATGTATTCCAGGGTAGTATTTGTTTGGCATTTTGGTTGTCTGATAGTTGGGATGACCCTTTCACCTTCAGTGTCCCTCCCTGGCCAAGCACTTTCCTTGGTGTGGTGTGTCAGATACTTTCCAGGGAAGACAGGGTCCTCGCTGGCCATAAGGATACAGACAGCATTAGGCAGACTTGGAGTTTCAGCAATAGCGATGCCGCCACTGAGCAGCAGGGTCCTCTAAAGCAAACCCCTTGATTGTGCAAAGCCTCATTTCCCCACGTGTGGATAGTGGGCCTAGTAGGAGTTGTTTTTAGTGCCCTAGTGAGTTAAAGAGAGACTGTGCCCAGTTAACATGCATCTGTGTGCCTCACCTCACGAATACATGCTGCAGCTTTACAGGTTCTCTGGGGAAGAGACTTGAAAGAAATGTTGAGTAATAGCAAAACACTGAGCTGACAGAGCAGATACATCATGGATCAGCTCTGTTTTTCTTGAAGACGCTAGCAGTAGTGTCACGAGTGATTGAGATGTTGGCGGGTGTTCAGGAGGGAATTGCCCTGGCTACATTTTATCGCTTATGCCAGAGTGAGAGTTTCATACTGCCATAAAGCCAGTCCATGAAGCAAAGCTAATCTAATTTAATATTTGAAAGTGGCTCCTTCAAACAGAGAAGTGTAACAGAGCAATTAGTCAGATGTGGTCTATAATAAAGAAATGAAGAATAGTTCTAGTGAAAGATTTTTTTCCTCAAGAGAGTTTAGAAATAAGCAAGTGCCAACCATCACAATATTCCTGAATAAATTTACCTGGGAAAAGTGCTTAACCCAAGTTTGCCCCACCTGTCCCCATACATCATAGCTGCTGCAGCTACTTAACTACCTTTGTGAAGAAGGAGGCTGTGTTTTGCTGAAATCTGTGGGGGAGTTAGTCATTCTTTTTGATTAGCACTTTCCCAAAAAAAAAATTGGTGAGATGGTTCAAGAGTTTAAAAAAAGAGTGATAATTGGTGTTCAGCCTTCTCATAACTTGTTTTTAAAGGGCAGGCTCAGATTATCCCGGGAGAATAGGATTCAGAAGTGAATGAGTGTTTGAAAAAGGTTTTAATTGCACTTCTTGCAAAAGTGAAAATGTGTTTTTCATGGTATTAAGAAGGGTCTAGATTGATCCTACTTGGATTTATCTTGTGTATTTTGGCAAATATTTATCAATAATTTATTTGGCATTATCAGTGGTATAAGCTTCGGGGCAGTCATCATTGAAAATGGATGCAAACTCATTTTCCACGTGATGTGATTACTGTGAAAAATGTAAAACACTGACTCAGAACTATTTGTAGCTTACATAAAGGAATCTCCGTGATAGTAAATGAATGTAGATTCTGTTTTGACTAGTAACTGGTAATAGAAAATAATCTTTATTTTTTTCCCCCTAGATGTGAGGTAGAAAATCGATACCAAGGAAACCCTCTCAAAGGAACATGTTATTGTAAGTGTTTTTGCAATTCTTATCTATCTGTCTTGAGTAAAAACCAATACCAAGTTTGAACAATGATGTGGAGAAACAGGAACCTTTGACATTCTTTGTGGGAACCTCAAATGGTTTACCCACTCTGGAAAACGTGTGGTGGTTTCTTCCACAGTTAAAATAAACGTACCAGACACTGCTCATTTCTCTCTTCCCCCAGCCCCTGGCAACCACCTTTTTTCTGTCTCTCTCTGTCCTGGAATTTGACTGTTCTGTGCACCTGCTGATGTAGAGTCAGACAGTATTTGTTCTTTTGTGGCTGATTCACCCCACTGGTGCTCAGTGCCCTCGCTGCGGCCACGTGGAAGCACGTGTCACTTTCCTTCCTTTTTAAGGCTGAATAATACTCCACTGCCTGTAATGCCACGTTTTGTTTGTCATTCATCTGCCTGTGGACACCTGTGTTGCTCCCACCTGGCTGTGGGAAATAATAGCTGTGTCTGTTTGGCTGCTGTGACATAGGGACCCAAGTATCTCTTCAGGCTCCTGCTCCTGGTTCTTTCGGCTAGATAGCATTGCTGGGTCACATTACAGCTAGATCCTGTTTTTAATTTTTTGAGGAACCACCATACCGTTTTTCACAGTGGCTGCACCGTTTTAATTCCTGCCAGCAGTGCACAAAGGTTTCAGTTTCTCTGCATCCCCACCAGCACTCATGATTTTCGTTTTTTTTTTAATGGTCACGGTGGGTGTGCAGTATAGCCTCGTTATGGTTTTGAATTAAATTGTATCATCCTTGGCCAGTAGGCTCTCTTCCAGGCTGTGTTCTTTTGCTGTCTCACATTTGTCTTTGAAAACTTCCTTGCTTTCTAAAATAAGATAACCAAGACACATATTCCTTGCCCTGGAAATGAAACGAATCATTTTTCTCTGGAGTCATATACCATTAATTTACAGCTTTGTACACTGAAGCAAACCCTAGCAGGTAGTAATGTTCAAATAATATTTGTTAGGTGAGGTAGCCTCAATTGTGGTCATGATAGAAGAAGATTTTAGTGAGTTAACCCACATAAAATGATAGCCCGCAGGCTTAATAATCTTGGGAAAATGTCCCAATCTCCAGGTATTGATGAGCCAAAAGTGCTTCTCTGGCTATTTGAATTTAAGCAAGTAAGTCTGTATTGCTATAGACCTGATCTTTTTGTTTTGTTTCAGTTCTTTAATAGACGTTTATTTCTTTTCATAGACACTCTACTTATTGACTATCAGTTCACCTTTAGCCTCTCCCAGGAAGATGACCGCTATTATACAGCCATCAATTTTGTGGCTACACCTGATGAAGTAAGATTATTTTGTCTCCTTATTTTGTTTTGATTTTGTTGGATCTTTGTCTTGGCCATATCTGTGGAAGCACGGCCTCAGAAGTGGTCTCAGAGAGTGATATTTAGAGGTGCAAGAAAGAAATGTTAGAACGTAAATTTTCTCCCCTTTCCATCTCAAAGACAAGAATGGTGTCATTAAGATTTATCAGGATCTGGGCCCTCCCTGGTGGTGCAACTGATTAAAGGGCAGCACCACATAGCTAGCTGCAGCCACTTCAGCACAAGTTCAATCCCCGGCCAGGGAGGTGACCCACATGGCGCAGCAGACCTCTCCTATCTTGCCCGCTGCTCCCCTTGGCAGTTTGTTTCAGTCTGTCTGCCTGTTCTGCTCCCCACTCTGTCTCTGGTGAGTCCTCTCACAGCCCCTAAACCTGTAGCCTCTACCCCAGGTATGCATGCATGCATGCATAAACAAACAAGCAAACAAATATTTTAAAGAAAAAGTTACCAGGATCTAATACAGACAGGCATTGACTGCACACTTACTTGGTCTGCACATTAGGAGAGACGGCAGCGGGGTTTTCCTGTCAGAGAGCTAGGTGGGTGAGCCCAGGTTTGTTCTCTCAAGATGAACCAGAGGCCTAATGGACCAGCCCCCCCAAAAAATTGTGGACTGAAATTAATACTTCAAAAAAGGTGTCAAAGGTGACACTTCTGGAACAAGTTCTTAGCCTCATTAGAAGGTTAAAAACAGCGAACCTTTAGGCAGGTCCAACAAGAAGTCATCCAGAAATAATTGAAATTATTAGGATCTCTACTTATGTTTCACCTACCCTCATTCATGGTAACCCCATCTTGCCATAAGGTGTGACGTAGTGGTAGAAGGGCGCCAACACTGTAGATTTCATGAAGCTCCAGCAGTTCTTTTCATCCAAGACTGCCCGTCCGTGTCTCTGCGGGTGTCTCTTGTTCCTTTTTTCCCTTTCCTCAATAAACATACCATGTGCTGCTGAAAAGTAAAATTAAATGAATAAAAGTATAGCTTCTAGAATACAAAGGACAGGGAAATAGCTCATTCAGTGCCCACTCCAATACATAGTGAAGTTTTACTAAACTTGACAAATTATTTAGGAGCCTCCTTGGAGGTTTATTTCTTGCCAGCCCACATAATGCCATTTACCATTACAAAACTCCTGGTACAGTGCTGTGTTGGCATCTTTATACCACTCGGTAACAGCTGATGGCAAAGATGGATTCTTTATCAGTGGCAGTAGACTAAACTTTCCAATAGAAATCTTAATAGTGCAATTATTTCTGGCTGACATATTGACGATAAGTATGACGAATAATATACAGAAAACAACATGGCAGTGAGTCAAAGTGACAAAATATTCTTCTGTTAACAAATGTTATCAGCAAATGTTGCCAAACTAAAAAATAAATGAATCAATAGAACAAAGTCCACAGTATGACTTGTTTACAATTAAATAAAAGTAAGAATAATTTTTTATACTCAGTGATAAAAATATAATTTTTTATATTCAGTGATAAAAATAAACGATATCTGGCCCTCTCTGGTGGTGCAGCGGGTTAAAGCACAGTACTGAGAAGCTAAAGCCACTTCAGCATGAGTTCGATCCCCGCCTGCCCCAGAGGTGACCACATGGTGTGGCAGACCTCTCCTGACCCGCCCACTGCTCCCTGTCTCTGGTGAAGCTTCTTGCCGCCCCTGAGCCTCTGGCCTGTACCCCAGTTCTTGTATGCACAAATAAATAAATCTTTAAAAAAAAAAAAAACAAAAAACGATATCCTTGAGATAGTCTCTTGAGTCAGTAGTTTTTAAGTACAAATAGAAAATGACTTCCAGTGAAAGTGAGTCATGGAAAAACTGTAGACATATCATTTGAGTGACTGTTGAATGGAATTTTTTTTGTAAAGGCTGTAGGAAAAGCCACACTTGGAATTTATTTACCTCCTTATTCGTAAGCAAGTGATTGGTGTGATCAACCTTTCAGGACATAGCTGGCGTTGCTCATTTTACTTTAAATAAACATGGTGGCTTCTGTAATACCTCTTCATGAAATGGGGAGTGGCCATCACATCACGTCTTTGGTCTTTCTGGGGTTTCCTTGTTATCTTGTGATAGGATATTTAATAGAGTTATCCAGTACATATATCTTTTGTCCTTTATAAAAAGCACTTGATCCTTTCTCTGGAAAGAAATAATTGTTGGTAGTGTGCTGCCAACAAATATTAAAAATAAATAAACATTTGAGCTGTTCCTCCAAAAGGAAGTTGAGTTTTTTCAGTAACATGACAGTAACTGCTACAGGAGAAGCTAGCTTGGAGACACATTTTGACAGTGGCTCTTTGACCCTGTCTCCATGGTTGTGATTTTGTGCTATCAAAATACCCTTAAAAATCTTAATTTTCTAACAGTTCTTAATTCAAAATGAAGAATTTCAGCGGGATTAGTTCCATTTGTACACTGTAAAAACACCTCTGGATTCATTCAAAAGAATAATTCTTTCAGCCTCAAGAATGAGATGAGCCAAATTTCAATCAAAGCCAAAATTTAGTATTATGTTTTACCCCACATGGGCTTCAGGGCACTTCTTTCTAAGAATGCACTTTTAATCAATAAGACCAAGAATCAAAAATAATTAAATTACCTCTTCAGATTGCTGGATCTCTCAGTGGTAAATCAGATTGTTTATTTCAGTTTTATATGTTTTCTTTTTTAAAAAATTCCCTTTTGGGGAACTTTGCAGCATGTATAATCTATGTGATCAGAAGTACGTAGGTTTACCATGTAGTTGAATATAAATTAGGGCACTTGATCAGGTGTTTTACCCCTGAAATTTGAAAACCACTACCCAGAGGGTCCTTAGGAGGCTGACCCCCTAATGTAGATCACAAGATGGAAGGTGTGGTGCTCTGGGGAAGAGCTATTTTTTCATGGAGTTCAGTGTTTAATGAAGCATTAAATCCCATTCACTTTTATGGGAGGGAAATTATTTGGAGTACAGGACTTACGTTAAGAAAAATTAGTAATTTGACAGACTCTTCTAGAGATGTGTTTTTCTTAAGGGATTGTGAAATATCTGTTTTGTAAGTTAAATTGAGAGTAGTAAGATTTTATTTCTGCTTTCTTGTAAAGTCTGGAAACTTACAATTAATTTTCCATTTATTTGCCCTTCTCATTAGCAAAACAGGGATTTGGACATGTTCATCAATGCCTCCAAAAACTTCAACCTCAACATCACATGGGCTGCCAGCTTCTCAGGTAAAAACATAACTAGAGAAGATAACCTGAGTGGAGGTAGTAGATTGAGAAATGTGTTATAGGAGTTGAGAAAGGGTGTTTGGAAGACTGGCAGATGGGTTTGACATCCACTTCGCCTCACCAGCTGGAAGTCACCTTAGCAAATGGTCAAACCCTCCTCTAGACCTGTGGGCGATTCATCTTACATAGAAGATAACAGCAGCGGGGTGGCACGGATTGGGTCACGCCTGCCGGAGTCTGCTGTGCCATCAGCCTCGAAGTGCTCGCGGCCCCTGCTCTGCTGCCACCTCTGCTGCCGGTGTCCCAGTGCCCTCTGGGGCCCCTGCAGCATCCCCAGTCCAGCTGCAGAAGGGGAAAGTTCGGATGACTCTGTTTCAAAAAACAGAGACATTTTTAATAGGGTAGGAATGTAGGCACAAGGAAGTAAACATGCTCTGGGATTCAAATCAAACTCTCAGAGCAGTTTTTGTTATCTTGTTTATCTTCCTATGATTCTTTAAAGAAGGCCCAATGGGCAGAAAATCTACTAGAGAAATAAAGGCTGGGACTGATATAATGGTGAGGAATGTAGGTCAATTTGAATTCTGCCTATTGCTTACTAGTACTGTGCTTTCTGAGTCAGTCCTTAAAACTGGGATAATAAAAACACCTACTCATGTAGAATGTTGTGAAAATTCAGTGATAAAGGAGGTGCTCAATGTAGTGCTTGAAACTCATGACATGGTAACTGTTTTGTCATCATGACTACTATTGAGATACTGGTTATTTGGTCAAAACACAACCTGTTAGATTGAAGCAAAATAAAAACACCAATTTTGTACATCACTTTATATTTATCATATCTTAAAAAATATTGTATAAAATTCAGAAAAAGTCAGAAACTTACAGTGACAAAGATAAGCAAGGTAGTAGTTTAAGCAAAGTCCAGGGCCTCCTTGGTGGTGCAGGGGTTAAAGTCTCAAGCTATATAGCTATCAAGCTATAGCCAGACCCTGTGGCTTGAGTTCTATCCTCAATCTCTCCTGCATGCACACACTCACACACACACACACACACAAGGGAGTTAACCCATAAGGCACAGCAGACCTCTCCTGTCTCTCCTGCTGCTCCCCTCAATAGTGTATTTCAGTAGATCCACCTGTTCTGCTCCCCACTCTGGTGAATCCTTTCACCCCCCCCACACACCTATAGCTTATACCCCAGTTCTTGTATTCGTAAATAAATTTAAAAAAGAAAGAAAGAAAAAGTCCAAATTATCAGAGCCTTTGTCTGCAGAAAGTGAATGGTTTGCAATGACTTTCTCCTTGAGCACTCAGCCGTGCAGAGTACTTGAAGAGTTGTGGGCAGTGTGAATGCCATTGCTTGTTAATAAGATTCTAGTGTTTTCTGAGCTTTCATGGCCATATATAGCCTGTTTCCATAGGGGGTGAGGGCTGCTAGAATCCCCAGTAAAACTACTGTATGGGCATAGGCTTGTGGGTTAGCTTGCCCGGCTTCAAATCCTAATTATACTTCTTGGTGGCTGTGTAACTTGAGTCATAGGACTTAATTTGTCTGAACTTTAGTTTCCTAATCTGTAAATGAGGATGATAATAAGGTTGTTGTTAGTAGTAAATGAAATTGAGCTTTTAAGACTGTTGCTGGAACACTAGAAGGTTGAGTGACTATTATTATTATTATTATTACTAACAGGGGCAGATTCTATCTTTAAAAAAATTTTTTTTTCAAGTTCATTTTTTTTTTCTTCCTAACAGCTGGAACCCAAGCTGGAGAAGAAATGCCTGTTGTTTCAAAAACCAACATTAAGGAGTACAAAGACAGCTTCTCTAATGAGAAGTTTGATTTTCGCAACCACCCAAATATCACTTTCTTTGTTTATGTCAGTAATTTCACTTGGCCCATCAAAATTCAGGTAAGAAGTGGTTTTTGGTCTCTCACCTACAAAAATGGTGTAATCTCTTTCCATGAAGGCTACATGCACTGATTTGGAACTTGGGGTGAATAAGAGTGACAGTTCCCTTGCCTTTGTGACATCTGTGGCACATACACACCTTAAAGAAGGTTGAGTGGGGATGGCTTGATTCACCTAGAAAGGAAATTTACAAACATTCTTGAAAGCCAGTTAGCATTTAACAAATTTAGTCATTACACCTCTATGCATCTCTTCAATGAGCACTTGCCGCATAAAAATCTCTTGATCTGCACACAGCTTGAATTCTGAAATGAGTCAAGTGGATATAAGTGAAACAAACGCATATGTAAACAGTGCACCGTAGGTGGACAGTGCTCTGTGAAAAGATCCCAGAGCTGCAAGTAGCATTAGGAGAAGAGGGAAAGCGGGAGAGGCAGTGCTCCACCCATTGAAGAGCGGAGTCCCGCGGTCTGGCTGGATCTCAGTCCTGACTTGCTCACTCTCAGACCAGCCACTCAGCCTCTCCGAGTCTCCGGTGCTCCGCGCACGGGGATCTGCAAGCGTAGAGCCAGGCGCCCGCATTGCCGGGCCGCGACTACCATCACCAGCCTGCTCCTTTTGCCCTTTCTGGTCATCCACCACTGTGTCCTCAAGGAACTTGCCTTAAACCAGTGCGGTTTTCTTTTAACCCCCCTTCATTTTAGGTAAATGTGGAAATCGGAATGTGTGCTCTTTTCGGAACTGGCTCACCCCCAGCTATGGAAACACAGTCAAGACTGGGGCTGTGGCCATTTGCCAGTTTTCAGTAGCATGATCAGTAAAGGAAGTTGTCATTGAGCACATAGGAAGGTTTGAAATCCAATGCTAGTGGTTTTATGTTCATGTCTTGGGGCTGTGGCTAAAGAACAATCAATCTGGTCCTTTCTAGAATATGAAGGACAGATTTTTTTCTCACGATTCTCTTTCCTTTTTCTGTCTAGATAGTCTGTAGATTTGTTCATCATTTAAGTTGCTCCACTCTTTGCTCTTAGACACACTCTGTTTCCCTCCTTTCCCAGTTTCCTTATAGCATTGACCACACTCCCTGCTTCTGTTTCCATCAACCCCACCACATCCTGAACCAGCCCAGTGGCTGAATTCTTCTTTCTCTTCTCCTCATTGCCTGGGTGGAGTCACTGACTTCCATCTCCTTTCGTCCCCTGTTCCTCTGGCCAGTCTTTTTAAGAAGTCTTCTTCCTGGCCCTTCCTGGTGGCGCAGCGGGTTAAAGCGGGTTTAGCACTGAAAAGCTAAAGCCACTTTCACATGAGTTTGATCCCTACCCCGGAGGTGACCCACATGGCGTGGCAGACCTCTCCTGACCCACCCGCTGCTCCCCTCAACAGTGTACTTCATCCATCTGCCTGTTCTGCTCCCCACTGTGTCTCTGGTGAATCCTCTCACCCACCGCATCTCTGGCTTGAACCCCAGTTCTGTATGAGGAAATAAATAAATCTTTAAAAAAAAAAAAAAAGAAGTCTTCTTCCTTAAACTGTGACCCACAGTTTAAGATGTAAAATATGAAACTGTAAGGCTTTTAGGGGGGAAAAATTGAGAAAATCTGTGTCCAAGAGCAAGGCAAAAGATTGTTAGACTTGACAACAAAAACATGATCCATAAAAAGAAAAATCATTTGATTGGATCACATCAAAACCAAATTCTTTTGTTCTGTGAAAGACACTGGTAAAAAGATGAAAAGACAGCTGTATACTGGTAAGCCATGTTTCTGACAAAGCCCTGCATCTAGACTAGATGGGAAACTGTCAAAACTTAACATTAAAACACAGCAGGCAAATTAAAAAAGGGACAAAAACATGAAGAGACATTTTACTGCTACAGAGGTATACGTGGTAAATAACCACATGAAAAGGCGTTCAGCATCAAAGGGCATGAAAGAAATGCAAATTAAAACCACAGTGAAGTACCTCTAGATGCTCTCTGAATGACAAATAAAAACTAATACCAAGACTAGAGAGGATGCAAAGTTGTATCACTTACACACTTTTACCCCCTTTTTAGAAGGGCTTTGGGGATGAGGTCACACATACCCACACTTAAGAAGAAGGGAACACACCCCAAGATGGTGGGAAATCTCGTTAGACATCCTAGAATTTTCTCTGCCATTAGACGGCCTTTGGAGTGGGGCTAGCAGGGACTTAGCTGGTTTCTCTGACCCAAGGAGGCTGAGCTAGACCTGGTCAGTAGAATTCCCGTTCGGTAACTGCTAACACTATCAGGTTGTAGAGCGCATGCACTTGTATAGTATTTGGTTTGGGTTCTAATGAATATACCCGTTGACTTGTCGGTTGTGATTCTTTTATACCGACACGCTTTGTTATGTCCAAATCTGATTGAACTTCATAGTGAAAGCTGAAAAATGATAACTGTTCCTGAGATTCTTAGTGAAAATCCTGACTTACGCTGCTGACGTTTTCTCCATCTGGAAAGAGGGCTGTGCACATAAACAGGCCTTTGTGCTGGAGATAGCTGTGCTGTTGCCAGTGCCGAGGTCCAGTTTTTTTCCTTCCCAGTACCCTGTTGCTCCACCCTCCGAAAGTCACTGACATGGTTTTAGAGCATTTCCTTCTAGAGGATCTCTTCCCCACACTTACTTTTAAAAAGTACTGATTTTAAGCTTAAGAACCAAAGAGATGTTGATCTTCCGCCTGGTTCTTTGGTCCTCTTGCCCTGGGCTGGGTCCCTCCCTTGAGTAAGACCCATTTATGAAAGCTGTCTTGAAGAGCACTTGTGAAAATAAACGATGGCATGCTCACCACCTCCTTTGCCAAGCTTTTCTTGAAACAGCAGGTAAGTTCTGCAGAAATGTGTCTTTGCTGTTTGGTGTCAATGACCTGGGTGTTCGGCACAGTGCGGCGCCGGCAGCCTGCCTTCTCCGAGTCTCCACCGGACCTGGTGGACAGCGGTTCTGCCTACATTTGGGGCTGGGCCTGATGTGCCTCGGCAGGGCTGAGCTTGCGTCTTCCTGGGCCCCTGTGGTCGTGTCCTCAGCAGAGAGCTGCACCTTTCTTTACTGCTCGCTTTTCCTCAAAGCCTTGGCTTTTCTAGATGTCGCCCTCTTAGAGACGGGACAAATTGAGGAAAAAGGCAGCGTGCTAAGGAAGAGAAGAGGGGAGTTATCTAAATAGTGCAGCGTAGGCTGGTCAGCCAGATTTTAATTGACTTTCAGGGTAGGCAAAAGCCTTGTTTGTCTTTGATTCTCATATTTTAAAGTAAAGTAACTGGGGAAATCTAATTCTCTACTGAGAAATTCATGTAAACACTGGTGCTTTAGAAACGGTAAGGCTAAACTCAAGTTCCTCTACTCTGAACCGACCCCAGGATTCTTTTCCATAATTAGGAACAGATCAAAACCTATAACTGCTAACTGAGGGAATTTGAAACTAACTATAAAAATCTTTGTAGATGCAGTTTAAAATTAAAAACACCACTCGGACTGAAAAGGCCTGTGTGTGGGAGGACAGTGGGTGTGTTGGGGCCAGATGTGCCTGTTTTCTGTTTGGTCTCTCCTGTGGGTGCACACCCCTCCCTCAGCCCCCGCTTCCAGAAAGCCATGCTAGGTGTTCTCTCCAGTAATAGGGGCTCCCGGGTTCAGGCAGACCCGGCGTTTGGGAGGGGAGGTGTCTGAGACAGAGCACAGACTGCAGGCCCTGTGCGGTGGGAGGGTGGACCACGGAGCTGGGCTCTGGCTTGCTACTGCCTCTGCAACAGAGGTCGTTATTGTAAAGTGGAACTAATATTAAAGCCTCTCCGTGCTGGGTGTTTCATCTGCTAGTTTGTATAAGAGGCTAGTGTTCACAAGTGAAGGCAAATACATAGAATTTGTATTGAGAACTGGGCATTCATTTAGTTAGAGCTGTGTTTGTGGGCACTAGCAGATTGCTATACTGAGCAAAGGGTGTGTAAACACGTGTTGACTCGGATATCTTCTTTTAGTAACCACTTTATTGAGATAGAATTCGCATGTCATACAGTTCAGCCATTTAAAGTACACAATTCGGTGGTTTGGTTTTTTTTTTTTAGTATGTCCATAGAGTTGTGCGACCATGACCACAATCAGTTTTAGAATATTTTCATCACCCCAAAAAGAAATCCGGTCCCCATTAACAGTCCCTTCCCATTCCTCCCTGCCCCCAGCCCCTGCCAGCCGCCCGTCGACTTTGTTGTCTCTGAGGATCTGCCTGTGCCGGTCACTTCATGTAAATCACTCACGTGATGTTTTTAAGGTTCATCCATATGTAGTCTATTTCAGCATGTTATTTCAGGACTGAGTATTATTCCCTTGCATAGATATACCGTATTTTGTTTATCCATTCCTCTGTTGGTTGGTCCTGGGGTTGTTTTCACTCTTGGAACACCGCAGGTGGCTGCAGTGGGTCAGCCTCTGGCAAACCTCCCCCAGTGGCCGCCACGGCCAGGACCCCCTGACTTCTTTGACAGCCATTCAGTCAGCATCCCTGCTTGCCTGGAGGTGGTAACAGTGCACCGATAATGCCTCTTTCTGTCAGTGGTGACAGAGATGAATCTGATGAACAACATTTTATATTCTTCTTTTAGGAAGGACATTATCTTGAAGCGAGTGCATACTGAACACATAAATGTCAAAGGAATGAGCGGTTCAAAATGAGCTACTCCCCTCACGGTAGATTCAAGAATTGCAGTTTGCAGCAAACAGGAGAGTGTTTTATTCAGATGAAAGCCCAGGGAGGTAGCAAGCTGAGTTTCTTGATGTCAGGAGCCGGGGGAGAGTTGAGAAGCCTGGGAATACTGCTCTTGGTTGGGTTAAGGGCTCGAGTTTATCTTTCACTCAGACCTTGAACCCAGGAAGCTGAGTAAAGGTGCTGCTTGTGACCTGCCCACTCATGTGACTTGTTTTTCTACCACAGATTGCCTTCAGCCAGCACAGCAATTTTATGGACCTGGTACAGTTCTTCGTGACTTTTTTCAGGTAATTTTTACTTGTACAAATGATATTTGTTCTTTTGATTCAGGCACTTCATTCCATTAATTAGCAGTCAAAAAAGACAATAATCCTGTGTTTGCACAGCCATCCAAACTAACTTTCTAGATCCCTGACAAGCCGCGCCTGTGGCAGGATTGTGCACTTGGGCTAGTCTGTTATAACGAAGACATTTGGTTTGTCCTGGCTTTTGCTTTTGTCCTGTGCTTTCCACATACCCCACACTACAATGTTGATAATTTGGTTCTTCATCTGGGGAGAATTTGTGGTCAAAAGATATTTAATTAATGATGATTAATGATTAATGGTGATTACTGGTGTGTGCTGCATGATATGCTTCCTCTTGCTTCTGCAGATAGTCAGGTGATTGCCCAGAGTTTTAAAGCTAAAGGTAATTTGTTAGACCCTTGGGAATCTTTTATTTTTATAGAGTTTGTCCTTTATAATTTCATTCTTATGGAAATACCACATGTACATAATTGAAAATAACAAGTGTGGGCCCTCCCTGGTGGCGCAGCGGGTTAAAGCACTGCACTGAGAAGCTAAAGCCACTTCCACATGAGTTCGAATCCCGCCTGCCCCGGAGGAGATCTACATGGCGTGGCAGACCTCTCCTGACCCGCCCACTGCTCCCCTCGGCAGTGTACTTCCTCGATCTGCCTGTTCTGCTCCCCACTCTGCTCCCCACTCTGTCTCTGGTGAAGCCTCTCACCGCCCCTGAGCCTCTGGCCTGTACCCCAGTTCTGTATGTACAAATAAATAAATCTTTAAAAAAAAAAAAAAAAAGAAAAGAAAATAACAAGTGTGGGAGTACTTACAGGCTGAAGCCCAGCATCCTGCCCCACACCTTCCCAGTTGTCCCCCGACTTTGTTTTAGCTCTTCTGACACTTCACCCAACGGGCCCTCCATGTCGCAGGCGCATACAAAATCCTCACCTCCCTGCGGCTGGCCGGAGTTCCGGCACAGCCTCGCTAAGTCCCTGGCCCCCTTAGAGTCACAGTGACCAAAAAACCTCTGGTTCCTGCTGAGTTGAACTTAGCTAGGTGAGCTACTGTTGACCTTTATCATTTATTTTGGGGAGAGGGGGTGGAGATCGTCAATCTTTGGTTATCCTGAATATGGTATTTGTCATATTTTGCTTTTAATCCTTTGGTTTTCTATGTGGCTGCTCTCAATATAGCCCAGTATTCTGACCACCAAAACATCTCTCAGTGTGGTCAATCACTAGCAGGTGTTTGGGTTTTAGTTTCCCTTGGAGATGGCTCTCCAGACCTCCCTCCTGCCACCCTCTCCCACACCCATTCACAAGGCCTGCAGCATGGCTGACATTGTGGCCATTTCTTTTGCCTTCCTCTTGAAGGCACTGAAGTCTGTTTCCTGTTTCTCATGACTTTGTTTCTCTGTGTAGTCCCTTTTTTTATTGGGGCATGTTTTCCAGGAGATTCCAGAGGAAAGGAACAGGGGAGGCAACTTTCCTGTTAACTTCACTGTTTGTAAAGGTCTTGATTTTGCCCTCGCTTTTGATTAAAAATTCTAGGTAGGATATCGCTTGTGTTAGAATTTAGGAGGCATTTTGCTGTTTCTTCTAGCTCCTAGTACTAAAAATGCTAATTCCATTATAATTCCTTCTCCTTGCATGCAACCTGTTTTTTCTCTTATAAAAGATTATATTGAACTCTAATAGAAAATTACAAAAAAAATAAGAAACACAAATTGGTGAGATAATACATGGAACACATTTCTGAAACCGCTGCTCAGGACTGGAGATAGAATGTTAACAGTGCCCTACTCAGATGTTTCCATCAAGCACAGCTGCCTCTGTCTTCCCCAGTCACCTGATTTCTAAGGTTATACATTGTATTTGCCCATTTAAAAAATCTATATAAGTTAAATCACAACAAATTTTTAAAAACAGTTTGAACTGAATAATGAAAATATTAAAAACTTGTGGGTTGCATTTAAATTTATACTTATAGGGCTTACCTTAAAATCTATCAACTTTAGCTACACAGTAGAATTACTTGGGAAGCTTCTGATGCCAAACCACATACCAAACTAGTTATATTAGAAACTCTGGGGATGGAGTCAAGCATTCAAAAACTCTCCAGGTAATTTTAGTGTGCTGCTAATGCATACTGAAGCTAATTTTAGGAAGCTAATGGTTTATAGACGTCTCTGTTGGAAAAGAAAAAAGCACTCCACAATAAATTAGGAAAAGAAGTGCTAACTAAAGAAAGTAGAAGGAATATACACAGAACAAATATTAATGGTATGGGAGAAAATACAGTAATGAGAACTAAAAGAATTATAAGTTGGATCTTTGAAAAGAATAAGTATACTATTGATAAATCTCTAGAAAGAATAACCAAGGAAAAGAGAGCAAACATAAAAATAATATCAGAAATAATAAAGTGGGCATTACTCCAAATCCTGCAGGCATTCAGACATTTTCTTCCTTCAGAAGAGTATTTTATGAGTACCTTTAAAGCAGATAAATTTGAAAAAGGAATAAATAGTATGCCCTGATTTTTCAGAATCTAAAAACTGTATACAATATACTAAAATGGACAAAGAAGAAGTAGGAAACTTGAATAATACTATAACTTTTAAAATAGATCAACTTGTCTCACCAGATGAACTCTAGGTCCAAATTGCTTCATTGGTAACTCATAACCTTCTAAGGAAGAAATACTATCAATATTAGCTAAATTTCCTAGAGACCAAAAAAGAAAAAATACTTCCCAATTTATTTTATGAAGTTATTAGCACAACCTGATCATATTATGAGAAAGGAATTTAGAACCAGTCTCATTCATGAATGAAGACTCAAAAATCTACCATTAATCTAAACAGGCTACCAGTTGTGTGTATTCCAGGAACTGCAAGGCTGGTTTAGCATCAGAAAAACCATTATTGTGTAATTCACAATAATGAGATAAAGGGAGAGAATAATATAATCACCATAATCAGTGGGGGAGACTTTTGATGCAATTTAATATTAATTATTAAAAACTAAAAATAGAAAGAAATGTCTTTAAATCTGATAAAGGAACCATTGATAAGCCAGTAGCAAGCCACCGTTCATTCATGGTGAGATGCTTTTCCTTTGACTGTGGGAACAACATTGTGATAGAGGTTCTAGCTAGACAAAATAAATAAATAAAATGCATAAGCATTGGAAGGAAAGAAATCATTACATGATTGTATCAATATAAATGCAAAAAAAATCTACAGATAAAGTATTACAATTAGTAGGTGAAGTTTATCAAAGTTTCTAGATACATGCACAGCATTAAAAAATCAGTTCCATGATTCACAGCTCTTTATCAGTAAGTTAGAGGCTGGCACAAAAATGATGAGATTTTATACTGACCTGGCAGGGGAAATGCCATGATCACAAAAATCAGTTTTATTTCCCATAGAAAACTCTCAGGTGCCCTCCTCTCCCCTGTACCCTGAATTGAGAAATCCCTTCCAGAGTGGTGCTGGAGAGCAGAGGCTGCGTGTCAAGATTCATCCGTTTCCTGCCGGGCCCACTCTGCCCACTGTAAGCTGATGACTGACAGAGACTGTCAGATTACTAGCTTGCCCTTTTCCAGGAAGCATTCACTTGTATACATATATGCTTCACTTTGGCTGCTCACACATTTTCTTCCCCAGATCATTGAGAGACCCAGCATCTTGCGTAGCCTTTACTTAGTTTCTGGAAGTTACATCTCCACTTAGAAGCAACTAGCTTCATCCCTCCAACCCTAGAGGAAGATCAAAAAAATGTGGTATTTCAGGGCAGGGTAGGGGGAATCAATTATATTTTTATATTTTATCGACAGACACAGAATGAAATATGTTTGTGTTATTTTGATGCATGTTCCACGTTGCAGGCCTCCCTGGTGGCTTAGAGGTTAAGTGTTAGTGATATCACCACTGAGGCCTGAGTTCGATCCCCAGCCAGGGAGCTGACCCACATACGATGCAGCAGATCTCTCCTGTCTCACCCACTGCTCCCCTCAGCAGTGCATTTCAGTCAGTCTGCCTGCTCTGCTCCCCACTCTGTCTCTGAATCCTCTCACCCTCTCCTCACCCCCTGGCACCTCTGGCCTACACCTTAGTTCTTCTACACAAAAATAAATAAGTAAGAATCTTACAGTGAAGGAATAATTCTTTAATAAATAATTCTTTAAAAAATAAATAAATTTTCAATATTGCATTGTATCTAGATCTTGAAAAAATGGCCAAAAATCAAAAATGGGGGGTGGGGAGGCAGAGATAGTAGACTGCCCATGAGCCCTCAAATGCACCCATCTTATGTGGCAGTGGCACGAAGTCAGATTGGCCAGGGCACGTAACACATAATCAGGGAGCAGACCAAGTTTAAAAGGTTCAAATTTGTGTCGGCTTTAAAGACTTATTTTTTTCACCCCCCCCAGACTTAAATTCAAGTGATGAAAAATTAAATGAAAATAAATAGTAACAAACAAAAAACAAATAGTGCAGATAAGAATCTAAAAGCTCTGTGTAGACTTAATAGTGCTAGTGACTGTCTCATTGTGCTTACAGTGTAGCTGCTTTCGCGGAGACACTGAGTTTTTCGTTGTATTTAATCATAACCAACTTACGCATAGTAGAAAAACTGATGATCAGTTATCAAATAGTTATGTGACATGTGCTGAGATGCGAATTTGATGAATGCTAAATATAGGTAGAATAATATTTCCTGTTAAATGTAGGGGTCAGCTGAGATGTGCTTATAACTATAAAATACACACTGGATTTTAAAGAACTAGGAGGAAATAAAAATGTAAAATACCTTAAATTTTGTGTTTTGGTCACCTTTTCAAATGATTTGGCTCTCTTGGGGTAAATAAAAATACATTATTAAAATTAACTGCATTATTTCTGTTTACATTTTTAATGTGGTTACTACAGCATTTAAATTATAAGTGGTTTCATTAAATTTCTGTTGGACAATGAATGATGAGATGCTAAT